CTCAAAGTACCCTCTCTTCTCTCAGTCACATGCTGTGATGGCCCAACAGAAGGGTGAAGGGTAAGACTTGGGCCTGTAGCATTGTTCTGCTGAGACTGGGGGGGGGGGGGGGCACAGGTCATCTGCTCAGCCCTAGCTTCCTCTCAGCTTGTCTCACTCCTCAAAGATCTCTCTGGCAATGAAAGGTTAAATATTAGTCAAGGTCTGAGATCTCATGAAGTTTGGAGGTAACAGAAGACATCAACAAGACTACATGATAGAACACCTGCCCTCTGGTCACCTCAGTCACCCTGAGTTTTGTAAAGAGGATTTGATGTTTTCTAGCCCAGCACACAGGGAAGGAGCTAGGTTCTCCCTCTTGTGGCTCTGTCCCACTCTGCCTTTGGTTTCCTCAAGTCCTTTCTTGTTATCTCTCCACCCTGCCCTCACCTCCCCTTGGTGGAGATGGTTTTGTTCATGGAGGTAGGGTTGGGGGGTCGAGACTCAAGCCCTTGCTTTCTAATCCTTACCCATGCCTGAGCCATGTGGGTTTGTCATGTGGGTTCTGTCTTCTAGTCTTCTTTTTATAATTTACCCTTTACTCATCGCTGCCATTTCTTCCTGGATCTCTGGGTATAGGACACCTGGCCCTGTACCCAGCGTGTGTCTCAGGGCCCTGGGGAGAAGACGAGGTCACTGCCAAGTTGTTTAGTGACTTGGGTTGGATTATCACCAGGCACGTGACCCTAAAGTCCTTATTGAATTGAGTAAGATAACTAAATGCGTATTTATCAAGATCTCTGTCCATCTGGAACATTCTAGTATTTACAAAATGTTCTCCCTGTTCAGGCACTTAAAATCCCTCTTCCAGCAACATGTTTTGATTCCTCTGCTATGATAGCGGTTTGGCTAATCACTTTTGCATGGGGAATCAGGAGTTTCTACTCTCAAAAGTCAAACTTCCCGTTACTCTTTCCACTCTGTGAAAACAGCTAGGGATTGTCTCCACAGTTAATGAAATTCTAAGGGAACAGGGGAGAGTGGTGTGCACTGTGGAGTGCAGACTGAAACTGCAGAACTAATGGACTATGGCATGTTCTTCCATTATTAAATATTTGTTGTGCTTCTGCTATTAGTAGGCACCGATGATATGGTTGGGAGCTAAAGGCATGAGAAGAAAAAAGAAAGAAGAAATTTTTAATATAAATATATAAGAATATATATATTTTTAAAAGATTGGATTTTAATGTACAGCCCTGGTTAACCCAGTACTTGATATGTACACTAGGGTAGTCTTGAACTCAGAGCAGTCCACCTGCCTTAGGTAACTTGAATGTGAACAGGTATCACAATGAGGTATAAGCAAAACGGTCTGAGACTGTTCCAAGGACAAACTTTGTACCTGGTCTATAAAATGTGACTGATAAAGCTTCCCTCGCAGGCAAATTTCTGGGAATCAATAAAATTACAAAGCTTCGTGGAACAGGTAGGTCTGGAAAGGTGGGAAGAGTTTGCCAGTGCAGAGCAATGCAGGGAAGAGGATCGCAGAGAGCTGGTAATGCAGGACCTTCCTGCCCTGAAGACATGTCCTCAGGGTCCAGGGAGGTTGGGAAACACTTGGAAAACAGGAGTCCATTTAAGGATAAGGTGTTGCTGTAACTTAGCCATTCAAGTGGAGTTAGAGCCCATGGGAGGTGTGAAAGATAGAGGCAGTTGGTGCTTTTATGGTGTTGTGTGTCCCCTTTGAGCACTAGAGAGTATCCTGATCACTGTTTCAGGAAAAGGAAAGTCAAGCAAAAATTTCCCCCTTTGTTCTCAAGTACTTCGTAAGATTCATGCTTTTAAGATTCATGCTTTTTGGGGGCTGGAGAGATGGCTCAGTGGTTAAGAGCACTGACTGCTTTTCTAGAGGTCCTGAGTTCAAATCCCAGCAACCACATGGTGGCTCACAACCATCTGTAATGAGATTTGATGCCCTCTTCTGGTGTGTCTGAAGACAGCTACAGTGTACTCATATAAATGAAATAAATAAATCTTTAAAAAAAAAAAAAAAAAGATTCATGCTTTTTGCCAGGCATGGTTGTGCACACTTTTAAACCCAGCACTCTGGAGGCAGAGGCAGGCAGGTATCTGTAAATTCAAGGCTAGCCTGATCTACATAGTGAATTCTAGTCTAAAAACAAGAACAAACAAAAATTAAATAATGCAAAAAAGAAAGAGAGAGAGAAAGAGGGAGAGAAAGAGAGAGAGGGAGAGAGAGAGAGAGAAAGTTCTTGCAAGCCATAGCTCCCGAAAGTTGTCTAGACAGTAGCTGTGAAGCCCACCTAGCATTAGGTCTCTGTACACTTGGCCAGCCAGGCAGATTTCACATTGTTGAAAGTGCTGTGACTCCCAGGTAAGGGAGCAGAGCTGGAGGCACCCCCACCCGGTCCCACCAAGAACATAGACAAGTAGCTGGCGAGCAGGCAGGCACCTGAGAACTTACTGTCCTTCATCACTGAAAAACACACAACACTTCCTGCTAAAACTAAATGTGTGTTTATGTGTGCATATGTCCAGAATCCTATCCCTGGTTATTTACTCACAAGAAATAAAAACTCTACTCAAAGACTTGGAGGGATGCTGAGGTTACTCAAGAGATAGCTCAGCAGGTCCAGCTCTTGCCACACAAACCAGATGACTGGAGTTCAGTCCTCAGAGCTGGAAGGGGAGAACCAATCCTCAGAGCTGTCCTCTGACCTCTGCACATGGCACATGACGTGGGGCCATGTCCCACACATAGAATAGTAATAAAAGAAAGGGTTTTTTTTTCATTTTGATTTTTTAAAGAAAAAAAACCAAACAGGCTATGCAGACTGGGGTGGCCTTGAATTCAAAGAGATCTCCTCTGCCTCTGATTCCCAAACGCTGGGATTGAAGGGGTGCACTACCACACCTGGCTAAAATAAAGTTTTTTTTTTTAATTAATAAGATATAAGGGCTGAAGAAATGGCTCAGCAGCTAGCATTTGCTTCTTTTCCAGAGGAGCAAGGTTTGGTTCCTGACCACCTCTGGGTAGTTCGAAACCACCTTAAAATCATTCCGGGAGACCTCATGGCTTTAATCTGGTCTACAGAAATACCCACACACCAATAACATAGACACACATAGATGGACACATACACATAAACTTAAATCAAAATAATAAAAAGGATTTAGAGGCAAATGTCTTGTTGTTGTTGTTGTTGTGTTGTTGTGAGGAGCTTGCAGTGGCACCTCTGACTCTCAGCTGCTCTTACTAAGGATGCTCCCCACCTTGAAAAACCATCTGAAAAGATGGTTGACTTTTCTGAGGCCTCTCTTCCAAGTGTAAGGGACATGAATGAGGGAGCTCAGGGAAACCATTCTCCAAATGATGAACACGTCCCCCACTTCCACCAGACCAGGTCTCCAGATAAGTATGATCACCTTCTTCATGAGAAGAAGTTCTTCATGAGAAGCCAGGGCCAGAAGTGCATTATCTTCCCTTATCTAAGAATGATGGAGAAACTATACCAAAAAATCTGAATCTTCTGGAAACTTTAAAGCCTTTTTGCCCCATGATACATTGTCTTTTTAGGGGCATCACTGGAGAAGAGGAAAGCTGCATTTCAGAAATATTGTTGTAATGGTTTTTAAGCCCTTTAACTGTGATTACTGGTGCTATTTTGAGGAAAGAGGACAACCTTGACACATTGTATACAAGTCTTAGAGCTCTCAGACTTCTATTTTCATGTGTTAACATTTTCATCACAGTATGGGGAAATGTCTCAACCTTTTGTCTCTACTGCTTTCTAATTTTTAGTCAGAAAGATGATAGATCCCGAAAATTTGCCTTTCTGATTGGTTAAAATTCTATTCTTCTATATATATTTTAAAAATGAATATTTTCTACAATTTTCCAGCTCTTTGAAAGTTTGAGGGTGTTGGAGAGGTTGTTCATTGATAGAGTTTGGGTTTTTGAGGCAGGGTGTTATAGTATAGTCTAGGCTAGACCAGAATTCATTGTGTGACCCATGCTGACCTTGAAGTCTCAGCAATTCTTATGCATCATCTGCTGTTGGGATTGCAGGCCTGGACCCCATACTGAGATTCTTTGTATGTATCTAGATGTATAATAACCCCAAACTGGCAGGACCTGCATATCCATCAGAAAGGAAAAGGAAGGCTTGTATCTGTATAATGGAATGAGTAGTATCTAACCATGAAACCCAACTGTTAATATGTAACAAAATACATAGATCTGAAAGCATTGTGTTTCGTGGAAGAAGGCAGATCCAAAAGCCTGTAATTCTATTTGTGTGACATTTTGAAGAAGACACAATTTATAGGAACAAAAATCAAATTAGTGGTTACCAGTAACAGGGGTAGAGGATGCATGGGTACAAAGGAGCAGAACACAGAGGCACGGTTCTTTAGAATGTCAGGAATATCAGTGATGATTAACAGTTCATCTGCCAAATCTCATCAAAATGTGCTCTTTTAAAAGGTGAGCTTTGACGTGGATGGGGTGGCACTAGCCTGTGATTCAGACCCTTCAAGAGGAAGCTGAGGCAGGAGACAAAGGGTTTTGTTGTTGTTCCTTGTTGCTTTAAGGTGAATTTTATACTTTAATAAACCTAAGTGACAGGGGTCGCTAACCCTCTGTTGCCCCAGAACCAGCTTCAGAAGGGCAATATCCAAGATTATACTCGAGACTCAGAGCTCACCATGAAGCGATAGTAACTGGAATCCTAAGTCCATTCTGTACCCTGATGACGAATAAGGCTCCTGAGTCAGTGCCCACACTTCCCTGCTTAGTCCTGGCCTCTAGCCCTGGACAGGGAATGAGTGCTCTGATCAAGCTCTAATTTGGGGCATGTAATCCCCATTGTAACCTATTAACCGAGCCAAAGTTTCTGGTCACTGGGGCTGTGTGTGTGAGATTGGGAAGCCGGAACAGTGTGCTCTGGGCAGCAGGTGTCCTGCAGCGTCTGAGAGCCTCTCTGGTACTGTCATTTCAGTGCTGCTCACATGGGTCAACTGCTCCAGTGTCCGATGGGCCACCCGGGTTCAAGATATCTTCACAGCTGGGAAGCTCCTGGCCCTGGCTCTGATCATCATCATGGGTGTTGTGCAGATATGCAAAGGTAAATGTGGGAACCACAGGGCTCCCCACAACTTTCCATCCCTTGCATGGACTCATCCTGAGATTCCTGAGTAGTGACTTTGACTGGCTTCTGTTGTTCACTTGTTTGACAAAGGGAATGAGATGATGCTTTCCTCAGGATTAGCGATGTCCACCTCCATTCCCATAGACCACTCTGCAAACATCCGTCTCTCTATACTTTCTTCAGAACTAATACAGCTAAGCGAGGACCCCGGATGTCTATACTCAGTTGCTATTTTGCCACAACCCCAGGGAAGACATTTCTTGCATTTTCTGTTTGTACTTGGTTAATATCTTAAAATGAAGAACAGAAGAAAAGAATTTCATATATTTCAATATTGCTCATAATCTCTGGGGGAAAGAGCTCTACATTCTTGATGCCTCTGCCAACATTCCCCACTGGATTTGATCTGTATTCGGTTTCCATGGGACCCACAGCACTGCTGGGCTCTGCACAGTGTCACTGCCTCTTGGAGAAAATAAGATGACAAACAGGAACACCTCCTGCCTGCCCACAAGCTCTGTGCTAGATACTCCCCTTGATCATTTTAATCAGTGGAATTAAGCCCTTGGGAGGGGGTGGGGATGGATGGATGGACATATTGTTTCCAGGAATTTAGGCTTAGGACACATTATGCTATCTTTTCAAAGATAATGAATCCTTCCTAACCTGTTCTCAGTTCTTTCCCCTGATCACACAAACCTCTTTATTTCTTATCCTAATGCTGGGTTATGGTTGTCTAAATAGCATAGCCAATTACTCTGTCTTATCCCGGCCTGGCCTTATTTAAGTCAGCAGCTGTGGGTATATGTGGTATGGGTGTATATACTCAAACCCAGGGTTTTGCACATGCTGAGCAAGCCCTCTAATATAAAGCTACATCTTCAGCCCAGAAACTAAAAAAAAAAAAAAAAAAAAAAAAGGGTTATTCTATTTCATATGTATTATATGTATTTTATATGTGTGTTTTGCCTGCACATATATGTGTGCCATGTGTATACCTAGTACCCGTAAAGTCAGAAGGGAGCATTGGATCACCTGGTTGTGAGCCACCTACTATGTGGGTGCAGAGAATAGAACCTGGATGCTCTCTGCAAGTACAGCAAGTGCTCTGAACTGCTGAGCCATCTCTCCAGCCCAACCCCAGCATCTTTTTTAACAAAGGACCCAAAAGAAGATCAAATATCCCTTAGGAAGTGATGGGCTATAGGCAAAGCAAACAAGATAGACTTGAACTGACAGAATGCTAGAGGTCTATGAGAACTTAGGTTTGAGTGTTGGTTGTTCTTGATGTTTTCTTCATGAAACACAAATAATACATCAAGAAAAGTAGTCCAGAGACTGCCATTGACCCTAGCTTCCCTGTTTACATGAACTTTCCTTCTAAATAATGTTGTCTTTTTGAAAAGGACATTCTGAACTGTGCTTTGAGCCTGAGCCCCTGTTTGGACTCATGGTTCCGAGATTCCAGGTTCTGGGAGGTCCTGGACCTGGATGTCCTCTTACTTTCCTTCTCACACACAGTAGGTTCACTGAAGAACAGACAAGGAGCTAGCATATCACCACAGGGGAGGTCAAGACAATGCATGGGGGTAGCCATGGGCTCCTGGGTCTGGGCTTTTCTCTCTGAGCAGCCTCCTGCCTGTTGTGTCCACAGGAGAATTCTTTTGGCTGGAGCCAAAGAATGCGTTTGAGAATTTCCAAGAACCTGACATCGGCCTCGTCGCTCTGGCGTTCCTCCAGGGCTCCTTTGCCTATGGAGGCTGGAACTTCCTTAATTATGTGACTGAGGAGCTTGTGGATCCTTACAAGTGAGTCAAATGAGTCTAGCTCTTCAGTTCACCCTTAGACCACACGATATCCACCTCTGGAAAAAGGGTCACTTCTTGCCGCTATCCAGGACGTGTCCTGATCTACTGTGAGGCGACAGCTGATATCCCAGGAATTTGAAGCATTTACCATCCACCTTGTTAAGAGAAGGGGAAGGATCCTATGACTGTCCCAGGGCAAGTGAACAATCAAGAGCTGTGCAGGACAGTGTGACTGTATTGAAGGAGCTGTCCTGGGAAGTCTCGGCATTTTATCTGTTTGGGGCCAGGCCCAGCCTTATATCTTAAGACAGCAGGAAGGGTGCATGGTCCAGATCTGAGTCAAGAGATGATAATCATGTGAAACATATTTCCAGGCCTAAACTGTTCCATTTCCTCTAAGGTATCCTGTCCCACCTGAGTGAAAACCTACCTCCCAAATAGAGGAACAGTTCAGACACTGCAAGTCTAGGCTCCTGAAGTTCTCCGGAACATCCCTGGTACAGGCTTCCCTCTGACCTCCTCTCCCTCTACAGGAACCTTCCCAGAGCCATCTTCATCTCCATCCCACTGGTCACATTTGTGTACGTCTTTGCTAATGTTGCATATGTCACTGCAATGTCCCCCCAGGAGCTGCTGGCCTCAAATGCAGTTGCTGTGGTAAGAAATCACTCAGGGTCCCTGACCCAGAATGCCACTGTGGATCTGCCTGTTTAGCCCACTTGCTTTTCCCTGATCCAGGGCCTCATGGAATGGGAAGTCATCCCACCTCCTCAGGCTGAAATCTGCAAGTGTCCTCTGCAGGGTAGCTTCCAAGTGCCCAGGAGCAGACTAATGGCTGGGTTAGTTAAAACCAGCTACCATGGCTGCCTGGGAGTTGCCAGAGTCTATATGGCCTTTGGTATTAAAATATCCAATGTTTTATAGGACAAGTTCACTGTCTTGTGTAAGCTTGCAGATTATGTAAGACAGACTGGTCCACACAGAAACGTGTGCTGTACAAGACACACTAATTCTCTTGGTTCTTCTTTTCTTTCTCTGGGAATCATCCAAACTCAGGCAAACTGATTGCTCTCATCAGAAAAAGTTGGGTATTGAAGAGCCAAGGATGTGATTCTGTAGTAAAGTGCAAAGCCCTGTGTTCCATCCACACATACATATGCACACATAGACACCACACACACATGCACACACATACACATAGACACACCTACACATGCATATGAATACACATAGATACACACACACACACACAGACATGCCAGTAAATGGTTTAGAAATCAGAGTGATTCATGCCCTTTGGCCAAGGAGATCACAGAACACCTGCTACCTGAGACCTGGGAGCCGTACTGTACCTTCACCTCAGACCAAACACCATCATGACATGTCTCATCTTTGAAAATAAATATGCCCTGCCATGTCCTGTGGCCACCTCCTCCTAAAACCAGCAGCCTCCAGGCATAGCAGGACATCTGTTCTACACATCACCTCCCCAGGCTTGTGCTATAAGCATGACTCAGAGAGTCTAGAAAGGGCTTGTCCCTAAACTATATACATACATGTATATGCATGTGAAGTCTCATCCATAAATTCGCAGCCACTTCTTTCTCAGCTAAAGAAATAGCCAGTTGTTTTGAGCGGTGGTGGCACATGCCTTTCATCCCAGCACCCAGGAGACAGGCAAGCAGATGCAGATCTCTGAGTTGGGGCCAGCCTGGTCTACAAAGTAAGTTCCAGGACAGCCAGGGCTACACAAAGAAGACCTATGTCAAAAGCAAAAGAAAAAGAAATAGCCAGTCCTTATTTTCCTACCATCACAATCTGCTTCTGTGAATTTAGAAAGTCTGACTAGGGTTCATTTCTATTTTATACATGGGAAACTAAAGCCTGACAGTAACAAACCCAGGACTGAGACAATAGCTCAGTGGCAGAGCATGTGCCTCAGGCAAGCAAGACTCCAGGCTTGATCCTAGCACTGAAAAGCATAAATAAGCCTTATTGATAAGACTTGTTGAAGGAAGGAGTAGTATCTGAATCTGACTACAAGTCCATGAATCTCCCTGTGTAGAGACATCTGTAGTGTGTACAAGGTGGACTTACAGCACCTGGCTTCCCCTCCTGACCCCCCCATTTCCCCTACTGTACAGTCTGAGGTAAGCTATAGGTCACTAAGTGCCTCGGTTTCTTCATTCATAAGCAAGGATAACTGTTAGCTCATGACTGTTATCACCACCATATGCTGCCCCCTCAGCGAGTTAACCTACAGCATGTGTGTTTGATGTGTAGCTGTCCCTGTGGCATAGTAGTCTAGGCCCAGGCTCTCAAGATTAACCAGAGAGAATCAGCAGGGTAGATGGGAGACAGGCACTCCGAAAGTGAAGAACAGACTGGAATGGGGGTTTCACCTCTTTGTCTCCACTCATTTCTTGTTTTCTCTCCCAGACTTTTGGAGAGAAGCTCCTCGGGGTCATGGCCTGGATCATGCCCATTTCTGTTGCCCTGTCCACATTCGGTGGAGTCAACGGCTCCCTCTTCACCTCCTCCCGGTGAGTGCTTGCCTTCCGGGCCACTTTTCTGTCCACATTGCTCTGTGTGTATCTGATGGACTTGTCTGTCAGCAGGGTTCTGTGCAACCTCCTGAGTGGTGGCTTTGTGGGCGTATGCATGTCAGTGTGGGTGCTAAGGAGAACCTTGCTGCTTTTGGGGTGACCTATGATACCGGGCATGGAAGGAAGCCCACCTTGCTTTGGAAGAAACAGAGCTATGGTTGGCAGTAGGATAGTATCTTGGCTACATTCCTAAAGTCCCTTTTCCCCCTTGTGTGGACACGGGCTACTACCAGCCAGAGAGAGACCCTACTTGAAAGAAACCAAGAAGGATTCTTGTGCCTGAAACCTCTAGCTCTGGCCTCTCATGAATGTCTGGAGCCAGACTCTACCTGGGAGAGATCCCTTTGAGTGTCCTGAGAAGGCAGGACTACTTTCTACTCAAGAGGCAGCTAATGCCGGGCAGTAGTGGCACATGCCTTCAATTCCAGCACTTGGGAGGCAGAGGCAGGTGAATTTCTGAGTTTGAGGCCAGCCTGGTCTACAGAGTGTGTTCCAGGACAGCTAGGGCTACACAGAGAAACCCTGTCTCAAAAAACCAAAAAAAAAAAAAAAGAAGAAGAAGAAGAAGAAAGAAAGAAAGAAAGAAAGAGAGAAAGAGAGAGAGAGAAAGAGAGAGAGAAAAAAAGGGACAGCTACTATGGGAGGCCACAGGCTTAAGAAGGGAGGAATAGAATGGAAACTTTTGTCAGTGCGAGAGCCAGTAGCCACAACTCCAACTCGAATTCCTTGGGAAGCCAGAAGTATGAGTTGGCCCTGGAGCCTTGTCCCATCTACCCAGGGATCAAGCCCTTCCTTTATGTCCCTTCCTGCCATCTATAGAATGGACTTCTGGATGTGGAAAGGTTACCATTTGTATGGCCCATAGGGTTTCTGTGCCCTAGAAGCCCGGTCCTATTCAAAGGACGAATCTGTTTTCCCATGCCACCAGACACATCACAGAGAAATTCCAGTGAGATGAAAAAGACTGCCATGTTCCCAGGATCCAGAGCAGTCAAGAGGGAGTGTGGGTGTCACCTATGACAGAGGAGAACATACACTCACCCGTAGCAACCTCGTGTGCGTGTTACACAGGAGCCGTGGCCACCTGGAGGCCCTAGCAGAGGGCAAGCGGTGAAGAACCTTGACCCATGAGACTCCCTGAGATCTGTTGGAGGAGAGTGGCTGGCTACAGTCACTTTAGTTTGGGGTTTGTCCCTCAGGCAGGCCACAGAGTGGTCTGCGTGCATGCAGCATAGTTATGTGTGCATGCAGGAGATGCCAGGGGTGTGGCCTCCCCTCCAAGCCACCTCAACTCACCTACTACTCTCTTCTGTCCTTCCTTTCTTTCATTATTTTTTGTCCCCAAATTTGAACCAGATGGTCCTTGCTGTGCAGGCTGGGTGTGTGTGTGTGTGTGTGCATGTGTGCATGCGTGTGTGCGTGCGTGTGTGTGTGTGTGTGTGTGTGTGTCTTAGCGCCATCATATTGTCCATTGTCCACTAGTTGGGACTGTTTCTTGTGACATGGGGCTGTTCGACCTGGATAGCTATACTTGGTCCTGGGTGTATGTGGAGGACATGCATGAGAGCCTGACTATGTGCATGAAGAAGCCCACAGAGTCCCCCCAGGCTCTAGTGCATGAAGCTGTGCTGGCTGGAAAGGACCTTAGCATGAAGAAGAAAGGGGCTGCATGTGTCTGCATGAAACCAGGGAGGCTGGCCTGAGTGGCTCATGGTGACACTGCTTATGAGTACTTGGAGTCGCAGCGTCCTCCCGCACTGCTGAGCTGCGGCCGTTACCGCATTCCCATATCTACAAAGCAAGTTCTCTTAGGCCAGGCGTGGGAGCATATACCTCCCATCTCAGTCCTCAGAAGGCTAGACCAAGAAGGCTGAGACTTCCAGGCCAGCCTGGGCTACAGATAGCAAAAGCCTGTGCACTGTCACGCTGTCACTTTCCTCTCATCCATTTGGTGGCTCAGCAGGTAAAGGTGATCTGCATTTGACCTCAGGAGCCCAATTCACACGGTGGCAGAAGGGAACTGGCTCACACGAGTTATCTTTTGACCTCCACGAGTATGTCACAGATAGCACATACACACACACACAAACAAATATGTAAATACACAAATGAAGTTAAACATTTTAAAGAAAACATTATTAACACTAATATGTAATACTGCTAGCAGTTACAGAATTATTTTTGTTGGTGGTGGATTTTTTGGATTTTGTTTTGTTTTGTTTGTTTTGTTTGAGAGAGGCATAAAGAGAAAAGAAGGAAGGGGCTGCTTTCAATGTTGCTCTTTCTGTGTGTCTGGGTCTCTCGCTGTCTTCCCCACGATCTCCTTCTCTCCTAAGGGTGTATACTACCCCCATTTTTTAGACTTTTAAAAATCACTTTTTAATGTGTATGAATTTACCTCCATGTATGTCTATGAACCTTGTGTGTGCTTGGCACCCACAGAGTGGGAAGAGAGAGTCAGGTCCCCCTTCAACTGGAATTGCAAATAGTTGTGAGCCACCATGTGGGTCCTGGGAATTGAACCCAGTTCCTCTGCAAGAGCAACAAGTACTCTGAACCACTGAGCCAGGCCTCATATATTTGTGAGCCAGGGTCTCATATAAGGCTGGCCTCACATAGGAAATCCCCTCCATCAGGCTCTGAGTGCTGGGTTCTCAGGCGTGTGCTACCATGCCCAGCTTAGTTTATGGTCTGCATTTTTGTTTGATGTTGTATTGTGAGCATGTTCTCACATAATCATTTTCTTCAGAAACATGATTTTGAGGGCTGGAGAGATGGCCCAGATTCAACTCCCAGCACCCACACGGCGGCTCAACCATCTGTAACGATCTGACTCTTCTGGCCTTCACCAACACTGTTCACACATGGTACACAGACATACATTCAGACAAACACCCATACACATGAAATAAAAAGTCTAAAAATGATGATGTTTTTTTACTTCAGCATTTTCCATCTTATAGACATATCCTAATTTCTTTAACCAATGTCATCATTTTAAGCATTTAGAACACTTGTAGCTCTGCTCCTGCCAGAGCCTTTTTGTGTGTGTATATGTACCTTTCAACGCCTCTCTATTAAAGTTTTTGTTTTCTTAAGAAGGCTTCTTGGGGATAGAATAAGTATTTCTAAGGGTATAAATTTTAGACACAGTGTATATACAGTAAAATGCACAAATTTCAAATGTGATTGAGAAGTTGTGAGTTATGGACACCCAAGAAGCTACCACCCAGAACTTCTCAGTGTCCCTCAAAGGTTCCCACCTGTGTTTTTCCAGCCCATGGCCTCTCTCCGTTCTCCCTAGTCTCTGGATATGATAAGAATGCTGTTACAGCATTGTACAGGTGGCTCAGAGCTGTGTGCCAGGAAATCAATAACCCTTAAGGACAAGAAGTTTCTTATGTAAAGGAGAAATGGAGCCAGGCAGTGGGGTGGACCATAACTCCTATATTAAGGAAATAGAGGCAGGAGGAGCAGGAATCAAGGCCCATCTTGGCCACAGAGAAGTTCAGGGCCACATGGGCTGCAGGAGAATGTGTCTCAAAGAACCAAAAACAAAAAAATAAGGGCAGAGAAGCTGTTCCTGTAGCTTTGTGGACATGGGGTGGGGTGGGAGGTGGGGTGTGATTCAGAGTGACACGACAGTGACCTGAGCCAGCTACAGCATACTGTCAGTCTTCACGCGCCCCGATCTATGCACCTGTCTGTCCATTGGCTGCCTCTGGTTTGCCTGTGCCTGCATTTGTGAATGTAGGGCTAGAAAGCATCACACAAAGGCAGGTTCCTGACCAGTGGAGGGGGCTGCTGTGTGGGCCAAAGGAGGGCACAGTGAGGGACGCTTGGCTTAGTGGTTTGCAGGCTATCCCAGGCTGACCGACTTCTCTCCCTACCAGGCTGTTCTTTGCTGGAGCCAGAGAAGGCCACCTTCCCAGCGTGTTGGCCATGATCCACGTGAAGCGCTGCACCCCAATCCCAGCCCTGCTCTTCACAGTAAGGGGTCTCCCCCGCCCTGCCCCCACTGCTTCCAGCCTTGCACAGATCCTTCCTTCGCTTTGTGCTTAGTCTCGGTTGGGAGTCACACTATCTGCACACACATATCTGCCACCCTTCCCATCTGGCTCTGCATTTCATCAGGCCCTAGCTAAGTTAGCGCATGTGGCCACTGGCTTTATGAATGTCGAGGGATATAATTAGGAAAGATTCTGAGTCTCAAACACCTACAACGCTCAGGCTGACTCATTCTTCTCCTCCTATCCTGTTGGCTCAGACTGAAAAGACTTGGAATGCCAAAGCCTCCTAAAATCAAGCTCTGCCCCTGGGCTTACTGGCACCTGCTACCATGGGCACAGTCCTGAGCCTCCGCCTGTCACTGCACAGCTTACTCTTCCCCCAACCCCACCACCTTCCTGCCCAGGGTACTCTGTCAGCCTCTCGGAAAATGCCATCAAAATAATTCTAGTTCAGGGTATACCTGATAAGAAACACAGACAGGGGAAAAGTCATAAACTGAAGGTGGAAAAAAGGCAGCTTTGAACAGGGAAGGACTGGGCTTTTTAAAATAGCAGAAGCTTTTAGAACAGTGGTTCTCAACCTGTGGGTCGTGACCCCCAACGGGGTGGCAGATCAGATATCCTGAATATCAGATATTTGCATTACTATTCATAACAGTAGCAAATTACAGTTATGAAGTAGCAACAAATAATTTTTAGTAATTTATTCATTTTTATTTCCTGTGCATTTGATGTTTTACCTGCGTGTATGCCAGTGTGAGGATGTTGGGACTCCTGGGACTGGAGTCACAGGCAATTCTTAGCTGCTATGAAGGTGCTGGGAATTGAACTCAGGTCCTCTGAAAGAACAGTCTTAACTGCTGAGCCATCTCCACAGCCTACAACAAGATAATTTTATGGTTGGGTATCACCACAACATGAGGAACTGTATTAAAGGGTTGTGGCATTGGGAAGGTTGAGAATCACTGACTTAGAGGGTTGAAAGAAGGAACAAAGACTTGTCCTCGTTAATTTTTTTAAAATTAGTTTTATTTTCTTTCTGAATCTTGAATAAAACATTAAAAATTATGTTGAACCAGAAATGGTGGCACACACCTTTCATCCCAGCACTCAGGAGGCAGAGGCAGGCAGATCTCTGAGTTTGAAGCCAGCTACTTAGTAAGTCCTAGGCCAGCCTAGGCTAAGTAGAGCGACCCTGTCTCAAAACAACAACAACAACAAAAATTACTTTGATTCCCCAAGAGAGGCGATCAGAAGTCAAGGTAACAGAGCTCACTGGGAGAATTCCAGAGTGTTCAGGTGCAGCATGAAGGTCATCTTGATTGGGTAGTTGCAGAAGCAATAGAAGGAGACAGTATTTTCCATGAGTCACCTGGCTTTTCTCAGCTCTGAGTTGCGATACTACCGCTGCAAGGCAAAGACAGGGAGAATCTGACCTGGTCGCCATCAGATCTCATGGGAGGACTAAACCTTGCGTTCACTGACCTCCACAGACTATGGGGGTGGAAGGGCGTAGCTCACCCCGAGAGCACCACAGAGATGATTTTGAAGTTGGAAAGTGACTTCCATTGAGAAAACCTCATAGCACTGTTACAGGCTTAAATGAGTTTGTATTTGTAGAACGTTAAAAAAAAAAAAAAACCGACCTGCCTATGTTAGTGTTTACTCATTTTTTAAAGGGAAAAATAAAGCAGATCACTCAGCCAAGTTTGTATTTGTAGAATGTTAAAAAAAAAAAAACCGACCTGCCTATGTTAATGTTTACTTATTTTTTAAAGGGAAAAATAAAGTAGATCACTCAGCCGAGAGAAAATGATGACGAGAAGAACAAGGCTTTATTTATCAGTTAACAATCTACCTGAGGGTCAAAAGGATGAAAAGAAGTAAGTTAGCTTGAGCCATAATCAAAAGTGAAATATGGCGAGATGAGAGATGCCCAGGGCCAGCTAATACCAGCATGGCCAACCCAGGTATCCACTCTGAACGATTACTCCCATACCGGAACAGCAGTTACATACCCACATTTTATCCCCATAATAAGAAAGCAGTTCTAGCCAGATGTGGTAGCACAGGCCTTTAATCCCTGCACCCGGGAAGCAGAGGCAGCTGGATCTCTGTGAATTTGAGGCCAGCCTGGTTTATATAGCAGGTTCTAGGACAGCCAGAGCTACATAGAGAGACCTTGTCTCCAAAAAGTCAGAAAGAAGTTCCTGGCAGTAAAGGTATAGTCCATCCTGGTCTGCTCAAGGTGGCTGAGAGCCCTCCTCTTGAGATGTCCACTATAAAATAGCACACCTGGCCTGGAGGGGAAGAATAGCCCCTAACCTGTGAACATCTGGAGGAGTCCAGTCTCCCAATGCCTTCCTTCTCCTTCACCTCGACAGTGCCTCTCTACCCTGCTGATGCTGGTCACCAGTGACATGTACACACTCATCAACTATGTGGGCTTCATCAACTACCTCTTCTACGGAGTTACAGTTGCAGGGCAGATAGTCCTTCGCTGGAAGAAGCCTGATATCCCCCGCCCCATCAAGGTAAGAGGATCTGCCTTGGAAGTCCTTCCCTTTCTCTATCACATCTAGCTGCGGTGCAGACTGAACCACCATGGCTCTTGGCCATGTGTACAGGGACAATTATTTCCTTTCTTCACTCCTAAATTGCACAATATAGGTGGTTTTCAGGATTCTCTTACCTGCCCTGTTCCTCCAACATCTAGATTCACTATACTATGCCTCTATCCCAAAGTGAGTCTCCTGTCTGCGCATAGGAATTCTAGTCACTGGCAAGATGGGTCTCAAGTACCTCCTCAGTTGGTAGAGCATGAGACTCTTAATGTCAGGGTAGTGGGCTTGAGTCCCGTGTTGGGCACCAATATGTAGTCATAAATATTGAATCTCAATTAGGGATTAATCATTCAATTCTCAGATTAAAGACACAAAACTTTTATATTTATGATAAGCCTTTAACGCACTAGAGCTGGGCAGGTATCTACCCTCTAAGCTATTAGTATCTACTTCCCTATAAATAATCCCGAGTTATAACTTGTCATGTTCTACCTGGGCCTCTCTTAATTCCAATTGCCCAGCCTTCATGGCTACGTTTTCATGACTCACCTACTGCAAGGCATCTTCTCCTCTCTCCACCTTCTTCTCTTTCTTCTCCCCCATGGTCTTGCCTCAGGCCCAGGAACCAAAACCATGCCTACCTCTCTTCTGCTCAGCTATAGGCTATAGGCATCTTTTTTCAACCAATAGTTTTAAATTAAGGAGGAAGGTTACATAGTATCACTTGATATGTGTGAAGACTTCCTCATCCAAGGGGGCAACCAGACCTTGGGGGCCAGTGTTTGTTTAGAATTACAGTACATAGCAACAGACCAAACCTCAACATCTTTCTTGAAGCTTTCCAGCCTATTCCAACAGTGCTTGCTTTTCAAAGTCCCAAGACTAAATACAGGTTCAATGAACAAACAAAAAACTGATTATTATTGGTTCTTCAATTGCTCAGAACAAGATATATGCCTCTGATCTCTCAGTTCCCCTCTGACATTATCACTGTCACTTTCTCCCACTCCTAAAATACCTCCTGGAGGGAAGGGGAGCTAGATAAACTCATCTCCCTCTGAGGTAGGAAGGGAGGTAGGCAGCTGACGCAGCTGCCACTACATCAGGAAGCATCTAAGGTACCCAACACATGTGGTCAGCAAGAAGCCATGCCTGTGTAGTTGATGTTTCCTTCTGAACAAGATGCAGCCCAGGCCCTAGCCTGCCTTATTCCCTTTTGGCTTTCCTGGTCTCTCGGGACCAAGCAGTTTTCCCTCCTCCAATTGCTTGAGAGACTTAATTGAGGCTGATCCTAGTGTGGGGGCTGAGAATCGCCATGGTGTATTCAGATGAGGCCTGGCCCGGGCGTGGGTGTGAAGACAGATCCAACCAGATCCAGGTCATCTCCTTCCTCCCTCTCATCCCCCAAGGATCCCTGCAAGTGTGCTGTAATATCCTAACCAGATGCCCAGCCCCTGGCCTTCTCTGCTGCCATAGGCATTTACATGACTCAGGAGGTCTTATCTGACCTCACCTAGGAAGGGCATGAACAATAAAGATCCTTACTTCCCTTTCCCATTGCCCAATTTCACCAACATCTGCTGATGCAGCATCTATAGGGGCCTGAAGTGTCGGACACAGAGCTGGATGTAGCTCAGCCATTTCCCTCAAGGAAGAGGGTGAAGAAGAGGGAGCCCTCCTCCTGATGGATGCTAAGAGCCACATAACTCACACTGCTTCTGTGCTCTACAGGTCAGCCTGCTGTTTCCCATCATCTACTTGCTGTTCTGGGCCTTCCTGCTGATCTTCAGCCTATGGTCAGAGCCAGTAGTGTGTGGCATTGGCCTGGCCATCATGCTGACAGGAGTTCCTGTCTACTTCCTGGGAGTCTACTGGCAACACAAACCCAAGTGTTTCAATGACTTCATTGGTAAGTAGTGACCAAGAAGAGGTCTTCTTGGGAAGGTACATGTAGCAGTCTGACTGGGGAGTCATACCAGACTCAGGAAGCCAAGGTTCCCCCTTACTTGGGGGCTCACAATTCAGGGCCAGGAATGACAGGTGTCTTCCAAAGACCTCTAGGGAGAGAAGACCAGCTGGCCTCTCTACACAGACCTCAGGCAACCTACCAGCTAGCCATCAGGAACCACTATAAGGTTAGCTGGAGACCAGGATAGACTCTGGAATTGGAGGCAGGCAGTCAGTGGGCACAGAGAAAGTGCAAGGCTAGAGCCTGAGTGAACAAGAGGCAGCCCTCAGATAATGCAGGATATGGACAAGCTGGTCTCCAAAAGTCACTTGCTAATCTGAGGTAAAAGCTGAGCCAGAAGAACAGGTCAGAGTAGGGCCCGATTGGTGGGGCTGACAGCACCCTACCACTGACCCAGCTTCTGTATTGTTTCCTTCCACAGAGTCCCTAACCCTAGTGAGTCAGAAGATGTGTGTGGTCGTGTATCCCCAGGAGGGGGACTCAGGGACTGAGGAAACAGTTGATGACGTAGAGGAACAGCACAAGCCCATCTTCCAGCCGACTCCTGTCAAGGACCCAGACTCGGAGGAGCAGTCCTGAAGACTGCCAGCCTTTAACTGGCTTTCTCCCCTCATCCTTTCTGCCCTGTGTCCCTGCCTAGGTCCCCCCAACACACACACACACACACACACACACACACACATTTCTGTAAGGCAGGGGCCAGACCTGGGTGTCCACAGTGAGACATTCTAAACAAAGACCCTGACCTTTGTACCCAAAGAACCTACTTCTAGCACCACGCCCACAGTCAAGGTCAGTGCACTGGGGCCTGCACACACCCTAAGGTTTAGAGGAGAGTGGAGGTGCCATTGGTACCCTACAGGGCCCTTCCTCCTGGGCCCATGCCCCTTAGGTGCCTCTAAGAAACCTGGGTTCACTACTATTTCTTCTCCCTAACCTTGAGCCCAGGTGAAACTTCCATTGGAAAAAAGGTAGCAGCCCCAGTGAGTTAGCTGGGGAAGACACCTCAGATTGTCACCATTAACAGTCAGCCGAGAGACTCAGATGTGGCTTCATTCACCAGGGAACCAAAAGGCAGAGGGTTCACTTCTCTGCCTTCTCCACTCTGTACTACCACAACTCCACTGCCCAGCCTCCACCCACTACCCAGAAAATCCCCTTTCAGGATGCCTCCTCCCCACTGAGCTAAGGACCAAGAAGGAGGACTGTCCCACCCCCAGCTCTAAGCCAGGCTTGTGGACTATATAGGGGAAGGCTCAGACTGCAGAAGCCAAGCCCTGCCCCACCCCTGCCCCTGCCTCCTGTCCCCTTGTGGTGCCAAAGCTCCCTGAAGCCAGAAAGACTTCTTATATTCAGTCTAATAGACGTCTCTTTCTTAAGGGCAAAGTGACTCAGCTCCTCCCCGTACCCCTGTGTGAAAGAGTAGTAACCCTCTTACCCTGGCAGTTCTTCCCACCCACAGCTGTGCCTGCCTTTCTCATCCTTTCCTCCCCTGGACCTTTGTATAAAGGATTCCCAAGTCCTTCAGGCCTGAAATTAGAGTCAAACCTTAGCCTTAAGTCATCTCCCATCCAAGAACTGGGCCTAAAATGCTCCCTGTTTCTGACCTTCAGGACAGGCCTGATGTTAAATCCTTCCCTGGAAGGAAGGGTGCTTTCCCCCTTCCCAGAGGTGCTCATCTCTCACCCTGGGGAGACCACATTGTTGGTGGAGCGGGGAGAATGTTTTCTGAAGGCTAGTTCCTCTCCCCTCCCCCAAATCAAACAACCCCACCACCATTCTTCCATTCCATCTGGGACAAGATGACAGAATGCACTCACTTTGGAGACCCCAGAAAAGCCCCTTCCAGGAGAGCTGCTGGCCTGTGCTCTACAGGATGGTGACAGTGTTTGCCTTCTCCTGGCAGCCTCCACACCTGCTGTGCTTAGGACAGGATCCTTTGATCATAAGGCAGAACCCTAACCCCAGTTCCATCTACCCAAACTGGAATACCCAGGAGCCTTTTCCTGGCCCCTGCCAACAGGTCTCCCAACTTCCCACCTAGCTCACCCTACCCCTAACTGGTGAGAGGCTGGGTTTGGGCTGAATTATGGCCCTTCAGAATACAGTCCAGGCAGGCTGTGGGACCTCTGGGGGGCCAGGGACCACCCATCTACCCCTTTCCTCTCATTCCTTCAGCCTGTACCTGCCCCTCCTTGACTTATTCTCTCTCTCTCTCTTTTTTTTTTTTAAGTGGATGCCTTACTTTTTGGATAACTATTTTTGAAGCTGGTATTTCTATTTCTTTTGGATTTTTTAATGTATGGTGGTTTGGGGGCAGAGCTAGAACCTTAATAATCTGTCACTGAGTTCATTTCAGTTTTAAATGGTTTTATTGGTTTGTTTTGTGGAGTATTTTCTTTTCATGTAATAAAATTTTAAATCAAAATGAAGAGCTGGAGTTAATAACCATAATCAGTCTGAATCGGAGTCCGTGGGCATTTTTATCTAGTCCAGAATCCTTCCAGGACTGCATTCCTGAAAGCCTTGATTGTCACTTTCCAGTTGGCCTGTACCTTCTAACAACAACCGCTTGTCCATTCTGTCAATCCTGAAAGGTTGTTTGGTTCCCTCTCTGTGTGTCATCCTGCAAACAGAGTAGAAAGTAAAACTCACCACTCTCCAACGGTGAGGTGTGGGCCAGGGATCAGCACCAAGTTGAGTCAAGGGAGGCAAAGATGGAGGCGACAATCTCAACACCCGACAGGAAAAGCATGGTGGGCGGAGAGAGCCCCCGAGGGTCCAAGGAGCCTGTCCCACCCAGCTAAGCAGAATAATCGGCAGAGAGGATAATTGCTGGGAAGAAGATAAAGATGAGTAGGACTGGAAGAAAAAAGGAGTTGAGGTCACTGTGTGTGTGTGTGTGTGTGTGTGTGTGTGTGTGTGTGTGTGTCCACGGGCATGCACACAAGCACCACAGCACTTACGTAGATGTCAGAAAACACCTTGTAAGAGGTGGTTCTCTTTTTCCATCGTGTGGGTCTCAGGGATAGAATTTGGATTAAGGTTGGCAACAAGTGCTGTTTTGCTGGCCCCTAGAAACAAATTTTTTTGGATTAGTTATAAGAAACAAACACATTGGCTGGTTGTGCTGGCATGTGCCTTTAATCAGAGGCAGAGACCAGTAGATCTCTGAAGGTTCTAGGCCAGCCTGGTTCATGGTAAGTTCCAAGACAGTCAGGGGACCTTGTGGTCTTTTGGAAAGTCAATAGGACTTGCTTCTGCCCCTTCCTTTCTGGGCTGCCCTCCAAGAGCTTCTCCTGGGTCACCATCATTCCAGAGCCAGCTCTGCTGACAGACCTGAGACCTGTGTGGAAGAGGTGGGTAGACAGCAAGACACTACCCTCCACCTGGGACACCAAGGTCAGGCACCTCCGCTCTGAGTCCTGGCATTAATGCTTGTGCTTGTGGCTGTCCTTACTCCAGACAGGCTGGAAGCTTGTCATCCTCAGAGGCACTGTGCCAAGATGGCAGCCACTGAGCTGAGGGCAGCCAGCCACAGAGCAGCTGTGTACCCTCAGACAAGTAGCTTCACCTCTTTAACCTTTTTGGGTTGCTACTTGGGTAGGATTGGACTTCATCTCAATTTCTCCATCTTCTAACTAACCCTTGGTTATCCCAAAAGCAGAGGGTGACAGTCCTCTAATGGATGGCTGCCCTGCAAACCTCACACCACCTTTTTAAACCCCCATCTTCTCTCTCTGACCTCACTGAGTCTCCTCCTTGTTGCTCTCATTCCAGTGCAACCAAGCCTCTCAATTCCCTCTTATGTAATGGAGACACTTGTCTCCAGGATTCCCTCTCCCCGTATAAGGTGGCACCTGCTGGTCTTTCAGCCCGCTCAAATGGCAGCTATGGGTCTCTTTATGAATGGCATACATTGCTTCCTAGCCTGAGTCTTTTTCCTGTCTTAGTCCAGGCAGTGACTGCAGTGCTAGGAATTTCAGATGTCTTGAGTTTGAACAATATTCCTTCTTTAGACACGTTGGGAACCTTTTAGAAGTCATTAAGTCATGGCTGCTCATGTGTTTATTTTTTGCTTATGCTTTTATTCTGTGTATGTGCATAAATGTATGGAGGTCAGAAGTCTTTTCTCACCTTTCATAGCACGTTGGTCCTGGGGCCCAAACTCCAGCCAACAGCTTGGTGGTAGCCATCTTACCAGTTCACATTCATTCATTGATATACTCATGCAACAGGTCTTTCTGATTATGGTGTTCAAGGACTTCACCATATTTTACGGAAATAACAAGTTTATTACTGAATTTTGCAAGTTATCACAGATTCCAGATTATCTTTGTCTCATGTAGAGTATTTACATATGTAGTGTCACATGCCTCCAGGATGCCTTTAGTCCAAGAACTCAGTAGACAGGGTGTAGGAGATTGGTTCTAATGCTTTGATTCAATCAGGAATCTGCATGTTCAAATGCTAAAGGTCCTTGTCCCCAATTGGTTTTTGATCGAGCAATAAAGAGGCCAATGGCCAAGGCTGGGCATGGGGTGGAACCCTTAGAATTGCACATCGAGGGTGCAGAGAGGAACGGGACAGAATCACCAGGACTCGAGGAGAAGGATGGGACACAGGAGCGACAGGAGAGAAAGCCGACCAGCCATGTGAGAATTCGGGTGGGTGGCCACTGGCCTCTTCCCCAGTTGGGCCTAGGGGAACAGTGGAAGGTTTAGGAGTGCCCAGCCTTTGAGGTAGCCAAGGCATTTTAAAAATAAGCTAATGTGTGTGTGTCTTTCATTTGCAGATCCAAAGATAGCTCCTGGGCAGGTACATGCATGCAATCCACCAGGAACACAAAGAGATGTAGCACGAACTCACTGCTATAGCAGAGGCACTGGCCAGCCTGGCCTACATAGTGAGTTCCAGTCCAGCCAAGTGCTATATAGTGAAACCCTGTCTCAAAAAAATAAATAAACAAAATAATGTTCAGATAAGTCAATCTACCCATCTTTTTATTGTTTTGTTCTGTTTAGGTTATTTTTTGTTGTTTTAGGTTTTTAGATGTATTTTTTGTGTGTGTGTATTTTGTTTGCATGTATATCTGTGTACTGTATACATTCTTGGTGGCCACAGAATTTTAAAAAGTGCATTGAGTCCCCTGGAACTGGAGTTACAGATGGTTGTAAAACACCATGGGTGGGCTAGGAATCAAACCCAGGTCCTCTACAAGAACAGCAAATACATCTCTCCGGCCCCTTTCTGTTTTTGAAACAGGATCTCATTGTGTAGCCAAGGCCAACCTATAACTTCTAGAGACCAGAGTAGCCTCAGATGCACAGAGATCTTCCTGCCTCTGCCTCCCAAGTCCTGGAATAAAGGTACGCACCACTTCGAACAGCTTATCTGTTCTTTTAGAGAAAGGGTCCCACTCTGTAACCTAGGCTGACTTCAAACTCATAGTAATCCTTCTGCCTCAACTTTTCATATCCTGGATTTGTGAGACAACATGCTCATCATTAATTTTAATTGAGGAAATGTGATCACTGTGCTCAATAGTTTTCTGTCAACTTGATACAAGCTAACCTGAGAGGAAGGAACCTCAATTAGGACAATGTGTCCATAAGATGGGGCTGTAGGCAAGCCTGTAGGGAATTTTCTTAATTAGTGATTGATGAGGAAGAACCCAGCCCATCATGAGTTGTGCCAGCCGTGGGCTGGTGGTCCTGGGTTCTATAGGAAAGCAGGCTGAGCAAGCAGTGAGGAGCAAGCCAGTAAGCAGCATTCTGGCCTCTGCTTCAACTCCTGACTCCAGGTTCCTGCCCTGTTTGAGTTCCTGTCCTGGCTTCCTTCAGTGAAAAACAGTGATGTGAAAGTGTAAGCCAAATAAACCTTTTCTTCCTTAACTGCTTTTAGTCATGGTATTCCATCACAGCAATAGAAACTCTAATAAGATGGGGGCCATTTTTTTAAAGATTACAAATAAAAACCTCAGTATACTCTCAAAGAGCAAAATGTAACCCACCTGGTAAATGCTTACAAGCATGAATGATGTCCTGGACTCAATCCCCAGCACCACTAAAAAGCCAGCCAGCCAGCCAGACAGACAGACTGACAGACCGACAGGAAGAGAGAAGACATGGTGGTTGGATCCCAGCATTTTGGAAGTTGATCAAAGATTTAAAGTCCAGGCTAGAGAGATGTCTCAGTGGTTATGAGTACTGACTGCTCTTCCAGAGGTCCTGAGTTCAATTTCTAGTAGCCACATGGTGGCTCACAACCATCTGTAATGGGATCTGATGCCTTCTTCTGGTGTGTCTGAAGACAGTGACAGTGTACTTACATACATAAAATAAATAAATAAATCTAAAAAAAAGAACACCAACTGGTCTTCCAGAAGACATAAGTTCAATTCCCAGCTCACACATGGCAAGTGGCAACCATCTATAACTCCAGTTCTAAGGGATCTAGCACCTTCTTTTGGCCTCTGAGTGTAGCAGGCATGAACATGTCACACAAACATAAATGTAGAGGAGACACCATACACATAAAATAATATTAAATCTTACCAGACATGGTGGTGAACACCTTCGATCCCAGCATTTGGGAGGCAGAGGCAGCAGATCTCTGTGAGTTTGAGGCTAGCCAGGGCTACACAGAGAAACCTTGTCTTAAAAAACAAATGAAATCTTTTTTTTTTTTTATTTTTTTTTTTTTTTGGTTTTTTGAGACAGGGTTTCTCTGTGTAGCCCTGGCTGTCCTGGAACTCACTCTGTAGACCAGGCTAGCCTCGAACTCTCGAACTCAGAAATCCGCCTGCCTCTGCCTCCCAAGTGCTGGGATTAAAGGCGTGCGCCACCACCGCCCGGCGAAATCTTTTTTTTAAAAAAAAAAAAAACTTCAAAGTCATTCTTTGTTTCTAACGAATTGGAGGTCATTATGGGATTCGTGAGACTGTCTCAAAAAAAGAAAAAATGGGCAAGAAGTTGCAGCCACAAGGGTGACTGCCATTGAACCTGACAACCTGGGACCCACATGGTAGAAAGAGAAAATTAACCCCTGAATGTTATCTTTGACCTCCACAGTGCTCGGCAGCACATACATAAACAAATAAAATGTGATTTTTTTAATAATTAAAAAAAAGTAACCTGGGGCTGGAACGATGGCTTAACGATGTACAGTTCACACTGCTCTTGCAGAGGAGCAGAGTTCAGTTCCCACCGCCCACATCAGACAGCTCAGGATTGTCTATAATTCCAACTCCAGGATTAATGAGAATACTTGTGCTCATGTGCACATCTCTCTCTCTCTCCTTCTCTCTCTCTCTCTCTCTCACACACACACACACACACACAGACACACACAGACACACACCACTAAAATAATAAATAAACTAAATAAATCTTTTAAAAAGTTGCATCCCGGGCTGGAGAGATGGCTCAGT